ACGCTCAACATCCTGAGATTTCAATTATTAAAATTTATGAACCCAACCAGAATGTGCCTCAATTTATAAGAGAGAGACTATAACAGACATGAGCACCTTGATTTCCTCCAGCTCCATAATAGTCGGAGATTTTAATACCCCTTTGGCAGTGTTGGATAGATCCTCCAATAAGAAGCTAAGCAAAGAAATTTTAGACTTAAACTTAACCATTCAACATTTGGATTTAACAGACATCTACAGAACATTTCATCCTAACAAAACTGAATACACATTCTTCTCATCAGCCCATGGAACATACTCTAAAACTGAGCACATCTTAGGTTACAAGTCTAAACTCAGCAAATTTAAAAGAATAGAAATTACTCCTTGCAGCATCTCAGACCATCATGGAATAAAAATTGAACTCAGTAACAACAGGAATCTGCAGACTCATACAAAAACATGAAAGCTAAATAACCTTATACTGAATGACAGCTGGGTCATAGACGAGAATAATAAGATTACCAAATTTTTGGAACAAAATGATACTGAAGTCACAAATTATTAAAACCTCTGGGATACTGCAAAGGCAGTAGTAAGAGGGAAATTTAGAGCACTGCAAGCCTTCCTCAAGAGAATGGAAAGAGAGGAAGCCAACTTAATGGAACATCTCAAGCAACTGGAAAAGGAAGAACATTCCAATCCCAAACCCAGCAGAAGAAAAGAAATAACCAAAATTAGAGCAGAATTAAATGAAATTGAAAAGAAAAGGATTATATAACACATCAATAAATCAAAAAGTTGGTTTTGTCAAACAGTCAATAAAATAGATAAACCTTTGGCTAAAATAACCAGGAATAAAAGAGTAAAATCTCTAATTTCATCAATCAGAAATAGTAAAAACGAAATAAAAACAGACTCCTCAAAAATTAAAAAAATCCTTAATGAATATTGCAAGAAACTTCATACTCAGAAATATGAAAATCTGAAGGAAATTGATCAATACTTGGAAGCATACCACCTTCCAAGACTTAGCCAGAAAGAAGTGCAAATGTTGAACAGGCCTATATTAAGTTCTAAAGTAGCATCGACTATACAAAATCTCCCTAAAAAGAAAAGCCCAAGACCAGATGGCTTCACGTCAGAATTCTACCAAACCTTTAAAGAGGAACTAGTACCTATACTATTTAACCTTTTCCAAAATATAGAAAAAGAAGGAATACTACCCAACACATTCTATGAAGCAAACATCACCTTGATCCGTACACCAGGAAAAGACCCAACAAGAAAAGAAAATTAAAGACCAATATCACTAATGAATATTGATGTGAAAATATTCAACAAAATCCTAACAAACAGAATCCAGCAACACATCAAAAAAATATATACCATGACCAAGTAGGTTTTATCCCAGGGTTCCAAGGCTGGTTCAACATACGTAAATCCATAAATATAATTCATCACATAAACAAATTAAAAAGCAAAGACTATATGATTCTCTCAATTGATGCAGAAAAAGCTTTTGATAATACCCAGCATCACTTCATGATCACAACACTTAAGAAAATTGGTATAGGAGGGACATTTCTTAAACCAATAAAGGCCATCCATAGAAAGCCCACAGAAAACCCACAGCCAATATCATATTGAAAGGAGTTAAATTGAAATCATTTCCACTCAGATCAGGAACCAGGTAAGGTTGCCCATTGTCTCCACTGCTTTTTAACATTGTAATGGAAGTCTTACCCATCAGAATCAGGCAAGAAAAGGCGATCAAGGGTATCCATAGAGTCAGAAGAGATCAAACTTTTCACTCTTCGCAGATGAAATGATTATATATCTAGAAAACACCAGGGATTCTGCTACAAAACCCTTAGAAGTGATCAAAGAATACAGCAGCATCTCAGATTACAAAATGAGGTTACAAATCAACACTCATAAATCTGTAGCCTTTATATATACCAATAACAGTCAAACTGAAAAAACAGTCAAGGACTCTATTTCGTTCACAGTAGTGCCAAAGAAGATGAAATATTTGGGAGTTTACCTAATAAAAGACATGAAAGATCTCTATAAAGAGAACTATGAAACTCTAAGAAAAGAAATAGCTGAAGATGTTAACAAATGGAAAAAGATACCACGTTCATGGCTGGGAAGAATCAACATTGTTAAAATGTCCATACTACCCAAAACAATATATAATTTTAATGCAATCCCTATATGTCATACTTTAAAGATCTCGAACAAATAATACTTCATTTTATATAGAATCAGAAAAAACCTCGATTGGCCAAGACATTACTCAGAAATAAAAACAAAGCAGGAGGAATTATGCTATCAGACTTCAGACTATACTATAAATGGATAGTGATCAAAACAGCATGGTACTGGCACACAGAGAGGTAGATTTATGGAACAGAATAGAGAATCAAGAGATGAACCCCCCCCCCCAAAAAAAGAGATGAACCCAGCTACTTGCCATCATTTGATCTTTGACAAGCCAATTAAAAACATTCAGTGGGGGAAAGATTTCCTATTTAACAAATGGTGCTGGGCGAACTGACTGGCAACCTGTAGAAGACTGAAACTGGACCCACACCTTTCACCATTAACTAAGATAGACTCTCCCTGGATTAAAGATTTAAACTTAAGACCTGAAACTATAAAAACACTAGAAGAAAGTGCAGGGAAAACTCTTGAAGAAATCGCCCTGGGTGAATATTTTATGAGGAAGACTCTGGGCAACTGAAGCAGCATCAAAAATACACTATTGGGACCTGATCAAACTAAAAAGCTTCTGCACAGCCAAGAACACACTAAGTAAAGCAAGCAGACAGCCCTCAGAATGGGAGGAGATATTTGCAGGTTGTCTCCAACAAAGGTTTAACAACCAGAATCCACAGAGAACTCAAGAATTGCTAACTCTTGTATTAGCAAGAAAAGAACAAGTGATTCCATTATCAGGGTGGGCAAGGGACTTGAAGAGAAACTTCTCTGAAGAAGACAGACAGATGAAAAAATGCTCACCACCCTTAATCATCAGAGACACGCAAATCTAAAGTACTTTGAGATATCATCTAACTCCAGTAAGATTAGCCCACATCACAAAATCCCAAAACCAGAGATGTTGGCGTGGATGTGGAGAAAAGGGAACACTTCTACATTGCTGATGGGCATGCAAACTAATACGTTCCTTTTGAAAAGACATCTGGTGAACACTTAGAGATCTAAAAATAGACCTGCCATTCGATCCTACAATTCCACTACTAGGCATATATCCAGAAGACCAAAAATCACATTATAACAAAGATATTTAGACCAGAATGTTTATTGCAGCCCAATTCATAATTGCTAAGTCATGGAAGAAACCCAAGTGCCCATCAACCCATGAATAGATTCAATAATTGTGGCATATGTACACCATGGAATATTATGGAGCCTTAAAGAAATATGGAGACTTTATCTCTTACATGTTTACATGGATGGAGCTGGAACATATTCTTCTTAGCAAAGTATCTCAAGAATGGAAGAATAAGTATCCAATGTACTCAGTATTACTATGAAACCAATTTATAGCTTTCTTATGAAAGCTATAACCCAATTATATCCCAAGAAGAAGGGGAAAGAGGAGAGGGAGGGGAGGGAGGAGGATGGATAGAGGGAGAATAATTGATGGGACCACACCTATGGTGCGGAAGGGTACATGTGAAATTTAGTACGTATAGAATATAAATGTTTTAACACAATAACTAAGAAAATGCTGTGAAGGCTATGTTAACCAGTTTGATGAAAATATTTCAAGTTGTATATAAAACCAGCACATTGTACCCCATGACTACAGTAATGTACACAGCTATGATTTAACAAAAAAAAAAAAAGAAGAAGAAGCAAAAGATGGGTACAGCTGCTGGTGTCAAGGTGGACACATCTCCGCTTACAACATGCCCTTCCCCTAAGCACCTGTCTGCTCTAACTCCATTCACTATCAGCCTGGCACTCCTCACTCCTGCCTTAATCTACACAGTCCTACACACAGTGCCCCAGAATGGCAAGAACATCATACATATAAACGACAAAATTGCCTTGCACTATTTAACAATCAGAAGAACACACAGAGAATAAGAAGGAACAGATGCTCAAGGGGATTCCATTCTGCCTATTCCCCCCTAAAAATGTAATCAATATTTCTCTTCTACCTTTTCAATGTGTTTCATAAGGCTCTTTCTAATTTGGTGTCACTTGTTCTCCTTTCCTACCAAATTAGAATTGGAATTGAGTTATGTGCCCCCCAAATGTACTTATCCTTAAAGAATAAATCAAAGGTTACCAACACTATTACACCACCTCCAGTTTGTCACAGTCCAATCAACTTCTCCACCTTTCATACTCTTTGGACTTACATGTTCATCTCAGGCATATCCATCTTTTTTACCCTGGTAACTAATACAGAGGAGACACAATGCACTAAACCAAAATAGTCTCTGCAATAAAATAGGCATTGGAGGTTATGGAACCAAAAGAACAACAACAACAAAAAAAAACACCAACCCAAGATCAACTCTCATCTCTGGCCAAAAACTGTCACACCCATATACTTGCACATGATAAGAATCACGAGACAAACAAGAAAAGGCATATAGGTTCTAACTGAAGCCACTTTTCTACTGACCTGATCTCTACCATATGTGTATACTCCATTGCTCTCTGTCTCTAAGGAAAAATTGATTGCAGTCATAATAACCAATTCTACAGTTGGAGAAATTTGCCAAGAAGCAGAAAGAAAAGCAACATCCAGATAACAAATACAGTAGAACCTCCACAGCTGACCACCTCCTTAACTTGACCTCATTTTCATAGACTAGACATGTACTACACATATGTATCAATACAATAAACCTAGTTCCTTATGTTGGCCACCGCCATATGTTGACCTGTTTGTTACTGTCCCTTAGGTAGTCAACTTACAGAGGTTCTACTGTACATTAAAAGCAAGTTAAAAATGCATCCTGAGTTTTACTTACCTATAATGCTCACTGATGGGAATGTTCTGAGAGAAATATAAAGCTGAAGTTCGTGCTCTCCAATGCCATTTCTTTGCAGGAAGGGTATAAAGGACACAGTCTTCCAACTCCTCTTGGAGCAGATCCGCCAGCTGTTTATGGGAGCCTCCATAGAATGCCTCAATGATGAGAATACTCATTGGCCCGTTAAAACCTTCAGATTCTAGATAACAACCAAAACATTTTTATTTTTTAAACAAATACATATATGCAATTTTTTAATAAAACTAAGGGTAGACTAGTCACAGGGGCTCATGCCTATAATCCTATCACTTTGAGAGGCTAAGGCAGGAGGATCACTGGAGGCCAGGAGTTTTAGACCAGCCTGGGCAATAGTGAGACCTCTTCTCAACAAATTTTTTTTTGAGAAAAAAAGCCATCATGGTGGCAAGTACCTGTCTTCCCAGTTACTTTGTAGGCTGAGGCAGGAGGATTGCTGGAGCCCAGAAGTTTGTTGCAGTGAGCTATGATGACACCACTGTGCTCTAGCCCAAGTGATAGAAGATCCTGTCTCAAAAAAAAAAAAAGAAAGTTTCAATTTCATGCTCAGAAGGAAAATACACATAATTTACTGTAATGTATACTTTTTAAAATAGGCTTATCTCACTTTTTAAAAAAGTATATAACACTTAAAATTTATAGTTTTGTAATCAATATTTTTACATCATCTAAAAAGAATAAAGGTGTCTTCATTTTCTGATCTCTCTTGTGCCCTAAGATTTTATCCACTATGACTACACCAGGAGCAAAAACTAAGTCCTCTCTTGCTGTGACCACTGACTTCCTGATTTATTCAGCTGTGAGCCAGTCACCTCAGAACCGTGTGATCTAGAATTTAGTCTTGGATAGTCACTGAACTCATCTTCTAAGGAAGAATTTCACTTCAAGAGCCCTTCAATTGTAAGGCCCTTTCTGGTTCAGAAGAAATTCTCTTGATTCTGTAACTCTCATATTAACCATCCTTAAATTCATCAGCTCTAACTGCTCCTAATGAATAGAAATTTAAAATGAGGTACATTCATATTTATATCTCAATTTTCTGGTGTTAAAAACCTTAGGAAACAATTTCTTGCAACAGTGCATATACCTTGACCATTTCCCCACAACTGTCAGTAACCCACCCTCCCCCCTTCAAGGAACACCAAAAAAGTGAGTATATGCCTGCAATCCAGCAAGGTTTCTACAATCTTTTTTTAAGAAATCTAACAAGCAGTCTATTAAAAGGGATAATGTAACAATAATGGTGTTATTAAGACATGGTAAAATTTCATCATAGAGAATCGGCCATCAAGCAATTTTTCATTTTAATAATGTGAATTTCGTTAAAGTGCTCAGTGAAATAAGAGTATGTGTATGAATGTAAAAAAGAATATATGTACGAGAAAAGAAAAAGAATATATGTAAATAAGAATATATGTATGAATGCAAAACTTTCATATACATTTCAAATTATATGCTATTTCCTGCAAGACATGAGGGAGAAACATAATTCTGTGCATAAATGCTGTATTATTTAAAAAATATTCCAGATGTTTGAATTTTCCTTTATGACTTAAGTAAACACCACTCATGAAACAGCTTATTGCTTTTCTTAATAATATTGTTCAGCAAAAGTATTAATCTGAATGCCTCAATGATGCTCTTCACTAATAAACCTGTTAAGTCATAGTGATGCCTACGTGAACTGCATTTCAAAGAAAACGAACAAAAAAGCTTATTTCCTAACCTCCACATCTTGCAATGATTATTAGGGAGGTGGGAAATATATATATTACATATAATTTCACTTATATGCACAATAAGAAGCCCTGTTGCTCAAATGGAAAAGGCATGAACCCTAGGGTCAAAAAGATAAAAACCTGAACTTTAGCTCTGTCACTTCCTTAGCTATATAACCTTGCTCAAGTTATCTAACTTTGTAGGACCCAGTCTCATCTTCTCCAAATGGAGACAACATTAATAACCTCAGATACCTGTAAAAGATAAAATTAGATAATCCACATGAAGTACAGTAGCTTACAAACAGTAACAAGGCCCTTCTATTACTAGTATAAATCAGTCTACTTAAGGAAAAAGGGTATCTTCAAGTCTTCCAGCATTTTAAATTCAGTAATTTTCGATCATACCCCTATCCACCAGGGATAAGTGGGAAAGGTGGGAACGGTATATTGGATATACACCTGCATTTGAAATACAGGAGGTATTACCCATTCCTCATCAGCAGCTTGCATTTTAAATATGAATTCTCCTATTTACATTTTGTAGGGAAGAGGGAAGTTCAGAGGTTGAACTACACAGAGTTCAGTTTTTTAAGGCCTGCTCCAGGCTTGGAGGCTCTTTTTATAAGAGCTCTTTAATTTATTTATTTACTTTGTTTTTGAGACAGAATCTTACTCTGTTCCTTGGACTAGAGTGCAATAGCCTCATTATAACTTATTGCAGTGTCAAACTTCTGGAGTCAAGCAGTCCTCTTGCTCCAGCCTTCCTAGTAGGTGGAAGACACCAGACCACCTACTGGTGTCCGGTGGAAAACTCTAAAATACAGTTTTCAGTGAGTTAACGAACACCTTCCAAGTTCAACAAAGTGATAACTATATGAATACTTCAAATGCTGGGAACTTCAAGAAAGTAATTGAGAGAATAAAAGGGAATTTTGAAAATACTGTCAAAGGTTTCAAAAGAGAATACAAGCAATTTAACATTAGTTTGCTTACTAGATCACATGAGAGATATCTACTATCTTGCTTTATTTCCTCTGACCTACTCACGCTAATGTGTATATGTCCTGTAAAAGCCTTAAAGAGGCTCCAGTAGACTGGATACCATGGTTCATGCCTATTATCCTAGCACCTTGGGAGGGCAGGGTGGAATGACTGCTTGAGGCCAGGAGTTTGAGAACAGTCTGAGCAAAAAATAGACAAATTACCCAGGTCTGGTGGTAAGAATCTCTGGTCTCACCTACTAGGAAGGCTGGGGCAAGAGGACTGCTTGACTCCAGAAGTTTGACACTGCAATAAGTTATAATGAGGCTATTGCACTCTAGTCCAAGGAACACAGTAAGATTCTGTCTCAAAAACAAAGTAAATAAATAAAGAGGTCTTATAAAAATGATGTGAGATATTTTCCTAAGTAATGAAATGTTACATAAACCACTCTAAAGAATATTTCACTCATCTAACCTCAAAGAAAGCAACATCAGTATTAGAAAAAAAATTGCTTTCTGATTCTTTATGACTCTGCCCTTTTCCATGATTAAACTATGTATCATATCATACATTTTACAGATGTTTCTATGGGTCTGAATCATGAGTTATCTGCAAATGATCAGCCACTGTGGAGGCAGTCTATGTAGATACTGCCACAGATTCCAGATACTCAATAAGCAGAACTGCACGCTGAGCATGTGGGAGGTTGAAAAATAGAAAAGGGGAAAAAAAGATGATAGCTATAATAGATTTCCACCCCTTTAATAGCTCTGAAAGAAGAATGAAATGTACAGGTTTGAACTAGCATTTACTTGAGCATTTTTCTCGTGGCCAAATGGGTGTGTCTACATTTTGGGTATTTTTCTAGGGAGAGTAACTATGTCCTACCATCTCTGAAAACTATACTTAGTGGCTTTGATTCACGGAAATTTGTTCTGCTTGTTTTGTGGAGACAGACATATCCTGGGAGTTTCTCCCACTTACTTCTATTGCAACTTTTATGGCAGAAGAAAATGTGTTCTTCCCTGTAGTCTTAAAGCACAACCTGGAAGAAAGATGATTCCCATTAGATGTAAGCAAAGGGGGGAAGCTGAATTTTAAATGTAAGATTCAAACCAAATGTCATTACAGCACATTAAAGAATGGTTCAAATACTTTCTCTGTACTTGAGTTTTGTTTTATAAAACACTGCTTGAAACAAATGAGCATGAAGTTAGAAAAAAAAATCCACTTTGCTGTTATGGTAGAAATTGCTAAAACATAAAGGAGTCATACTATTTTCCTCTTTCAGCAAAAGTCAGAGAAAACTTCTGATGATCACCCTGGTGAGACACTCACAGGCACGCAGAGTGAACACTGACATTTTCACACCACTAGAAATGGCTACCAAGGAATGTGCTGTTGGAAGCAGTGACATGGCCTTGACATTTGCTAACTCCCAAGCTAGGACCCTTCAGGGCAGAAAACTGTGGGCTGGTGTCTGCCAGAAGACGGCAGAGAGCCAAATGTCTTATGTAGGTGCCTGAGTTAATGAATATGCTAAAGCATCATCACAGGTACACTAGAGAACTTAAACCATGAAACATTTCAACTGAGTAAGTATATCAGAATTAGGGGCATGACATTTCAAAAGGAAAAAATAATAACAAAAAAAAGATTTATGCTGGAGAATAAATACCAGTCAGAAAGCCCATGTTCTTTCTGAATGACACTGAGAAGGACATTAAATGACATTAAGAGCAGGCCGGAAACAGTGGATCAAACCTTCAATCCCAGCACTTTGGGAAGCTGAGATGGGAGGATCATTTGAGGTCAGGAGTTTGAGATTAATCTGGACACCACAGCAAAACCCTATCCGTACAAATTTTTTTTTAAAAATTAGCTAGGCACCATGGCACACAAGCTAGAGGCTGAAGGCTGAGGCAGGAGAATGTCTTAAGTCCAGGAGTTCCAGACTGCAGTGAGCTATGACCTGACCGTGCCACTCTACTCCAGGCTGGGTGACAAAGTGAGATCTTGTCTTTTAACAAGGAAAAAAAAAAAAGAGGAAATGGCCATTCCATTCTTGCTCCTTAAAAGATCATATAAAATATTTCAGATCAATTTTTATCAATTTTTAAGTTTTTCTGATTAAACAAGTAAGCTTCAGTTAAAGCAAAACTCACTTCTTCAGCACCTTTTATTCCCCAGTGATACCAGACGAGTATGAATCTACTATAGTATTAAAGCTTTATGAAAGTTTAACTCATTATCAATACTGGTTTAATGGCACATGGTTAAATCTTAAACATTAAATTTGGCAATATAAAACGAGTCAAGTGATAGCTGTGACATAGAAATTTCATACCATTTCAAATTCTATCTAAAATCACCAAAGGTCAAAATGATGTATCTAAAAATTACCTGCCTTTCCAAAAATTTATATTTATAAGTTAAAGAGGCTACAAAGTGTAAAATCATGATAGTATTTGATACAAACATCTTCACCAAAATGAAAAAGTGCCATTAGCGTCATGTCAATTAAAAACTAATAATGCATTGATAAAATCACAGAGAACAAAAGTAGCCTGAAACCAATGCTATGAATATTTTTAAATTTGTATTAAAACTTTTTGCTTTTGTACCTGCATTTATTTTAGGCTTGACCCAATTTCTTTATTCCCTGAGCCACGATCGTTTTCAAGGTGAACTACATTTTTGTCTACCTCCTCTAGCAGTTACAACTGCTACAGTAGTTGAAATTTTTATTAATAGT